TGCAGAGGGTTATTGGGTGTAAGAGTGGATACAGCTTGACTCAAAGTTAGATGAGGGGTTGGAATCCCCACTCTGCACCGTTCTTCCATGGGCCAAGGTGACGTGTACCCGCTCGTCGGCGCTCAGTTGTTCTGTCCAAGGAAGATAACAGTTCTTTCTAAATAGATCATACAAAGGTGTTCAGCACAATGTCTAGTGTGCAGTAGCAATGAATAAAAGGGTCTCCTCCTTCCTTTCTCTTCGATGGCTCAGAAACCACACCCTGCTGCTTTGCCTACATTGCCCGCCCACTGCCCCGTGCCCACATCAAGGAGTATTTCTACACCAGTGGCAAGTGCTCAAACGCAGGTCGTGTGAGTCTCAGCCCCATGGCGCCCTCCCAGAGCCTGTTTCCCTCAGGGAGTCCGCTTAGAGGATGCCCTACCCACTCCCACCCATCCTCCAGCTACGAGCAGCCACAGTCCTCCATTTCTAGCCTCAGAGTCTCGCGTATCATGAAAAAAGACTAGACAAGCTGTCCTTAGAGAATCCTGCCCACTCTGATGGACTATGTTCCTAGGACTCCAGTCTTTTTTTTTTTTTTTTTTTTTTTGAGATGGAGTCTCACTCTGTCGCCCAGGCTGGAGTGCAGTGGCACGATCTTGGCTCACTGCAAGCTCCACCTCCTGGGTTCACACCATTTTCCTGCCTCAGCCTCCCAAGTAGCTGGGACTACAGGTGCCCGCCACCGTGCCCGGCTAATTTTTTGCATTTTTTAGTAGAGACGGGGTTTCACCGTGTTAGCCAGGATGGTCTCGATTTCCTGCCCTCGTGATCCACCCACCTTGGCCTCCCAAAGTGCTGGGATTACAGGTGTGAGCCACCGCGCCCAGCCTAGGACTCCAATCTTTACTGGTGTGTCCTTTACTTCAACATGGTCTGGAATGCTACTGTGTGGGGAAGATCAAGTCAGTCATCCCCTTCAGTGAAGAATCCTACAGTCCCCCATATTTCACACCCAATCAAATCCACCTAAACCTCAGAGGAACTAGGGAGGAGAGGTCAGAGGTCAGGGATCTATAATTGCAGTCAAATAATAAAAAAAAAAGCCATCCATCAAAGAAGAAATAAGGAAATAAGATTCACCTTTAAATATGCAAGCTAGTATATTTGGAAAAATATAATAAACCCTACTATATAGGAAATGCCTACTATGTGTCAAATGTCTTATGTGCATGATCTTTAAATTACACTTAGCTCTGACAAGTATGCATAATTCTCTCCATGTTTCAGGTATTAAAACTAAGATTCAGAGAGGTTTATTGACTTAGCCAAGGCTGCACAGTAAATGAAGGATGAAGCCCATCTCTAGAGCCTCCTCTTTCTGCTATAGCAAAGTCATTAGTGACAATTGCTTAAGAAATTTATGGCAGAGACTTCAAAAATGAAAATGGTGCAATCCTGGAGTTTCCTATATAACAGTGAAGTTTTTGTTTTTGTTTTTGTTTTGAGACAGAGTCTCACTCACTCTGTTGCCCAGGGTGTGATCTCAGCTCACTGTTGTGCAATGGTGTGATCTCAGCTCACTGCATCCTCTGCCTCCTGGGTTCAAGCAATTCTCCTGCCTCAGCCTCCCAGGTAGCTGAGATTACAGGCACGCACCATCACGCCCAGCTAACTTTTGTAATTTTTGTGGAGACGGAGTTTCACCATGTTGGCCAGGCTGGTCTTGAACTTCTGAGCTCAAGTGATCTGTTCAGCCCGGCCTCCCAAAGTGCTGGGATTACAGGCGTGAACCACCGCGCCTGGCCAGGGTGAAGTTTTTTAATGCAAAAATTTTTATGACACTGTCAAAGTTAGAGGTATTCAAAGACAGACTTTGGGTCTGATGAATTTTTTGAAATATAGTGGTAATATTTAACAACTACTAATTTTATTTCTGAAAACAAATATTTTTCAAAAGAAGAAAATCCTTCCCTGAGCACATACTATGGG